AATAAATAAATAAATAAATAAATTGGTTATTAAAAAAAAAGAATCGATAAAAAAAAGAGTTGGTTCTTTGAGAAAATCAACAAAATAGACAAACCTTTATCCAAACTAACCAAAAGGCAGAGAGAGAATATCCAAATTAATAAAATCAGAAATGAAAAGGGGGCATAACAACAGACATGGAGGAAAAGGAAATACAGAAATCATCAGGTCATATTTTGAAAACCTGTACTCCACAAAATTGGAAAACTTATCACAACAGAAAGGAAGAAAGAGCATCTAGCTATCTGTACATTCTGTTTCTTTCATAGCTTGATTTCTTGCTGTTACTTCAGTTTGTTTTCTCCTCACTGACCCTGACCCTGTCCACAGCAGGGTTACCTGGAAGCCTGTCTTTGCCTTTCATTCCATTTTCTCTTTATCATTTGTGACATATTGAGACTTAAATGATCACGTTGATTCTGTCCTTCCATCAGCTTTTCTGTTAATTATAAGATGGATATTTATGAATCAGGAGACAGTATATAGTGAGAATTTAAAGACCCAAATCCATAACTTACATGGTCAAAAGTTTACCTGAACTTAAAACTCTACCTATACATATAAGGGATATTAAATCAAGCAGATGTTCTGTTGTGAATGACAGGGGACATAAGGGTCACAGCCACCAAGCTGAAAGTGTACTGGTTGCAGGTGTGTGGGGAGCACTGTGGATCATAGCACTGAAATAAGTGCCTGAGTCTGTGGTCTGAGAGGAGGAAATGTACAAAGAGCTGCGGCGTTCCTGAGTGACTGTTGTGGACCTCAGTCTTTCACTTTGATTTGCTCCAGAAGGACAGGGTGATGAGGTGTCCCCCAGGACTTTGGTAAAACCATTGCATACTGTTCAAAACTGGAAAAGTTGCACTGCAGCTCTGCATGCTCTCTTCCTCCTGCAGAACCAAGGACACAGGACTCTGCTTCACTTGTTGCCCTTTCACCCCTGATTAGAAACAGAGAAAGAGACACAGGTAGAGGACACTGAGTATTAAATGGATCCCTAAACTCTTTCCCATGTCCTTTAAGAAGATGAGAGGTGGGGCTGGAGAGATGGCTCAGAGGTTAAGAGCATTGCCTGCTCTTCCAAAGGTCCTGAGTTCAATTCCCAGCAACCACATGGTGGCTCACAACCATCTGTAATGGGGTCTGGTGCCCTCTTCTGGCCTGCAGGTATACACACAGACAGAATATTGTATACATAAATAATAAATAAATATTAAAAAAAGAATATGAGAGCTCTGCAGGGCCCCTATACTCTTTTTCCACCCCTCCAGGTGCTGAAAAATATCCTCTCTGTTCCCTGAATGTGGAGAGCCACATTCACAACGAATCTGGATGCACAGTAGCCCCAGCAGAGAGCACAGCATCCTCTTCATGGTATTTGTCTGAATACAGGAGACAGAAGCAAGTAACCAACCCCTGGCCTTTGGTGTCAGAATGACTGTTGAAGTGTCTCTCCTCCCGCAAATCAGACAGAATTCCCTTCCAGCCTTCTGAGTCTGAAACTCCTCCCAAACCATACCTGGCTGAGAGTCTGGCTGGAGCACAGTGTAGGAGCACTTTTAGATGACCCTGAGGTTGGATGGATTTAGGGATCCTGGATACAAGAGAGAACCCGCCATGCCCAGGGAGAACAAGCCTCAGCTACACACAGAGCCTGACATACTCAGAGAAACAATAGTTAAATTTCTAACTCAGAAAAAAGGGTACATGTTCTGACTAAAGACCCTTTACTGGGCCTGAGGGATAATTCAGCAGGTAAGGCCCCTTGTCCTTCCAGAAGCCCTTATTTCCCTTCCCAGCAGTCATATCAAGTGGTTCACAGCTTCCTGTAACTCCAGCTCCAGGGTACCTGTTACCCTCTTCTATTTTCCTAAGAACCTGTACACAAAATACCACACATTTTCACAATCCATTCTCATACTCATTAAAAACACTAACAAGAACCTTTATTCATGAAATAGTTTGAGTAAAATCACCACAGTAGAAGAAGAAAATAATGATAGAGTAAGTATAAATGCAACCGTTTTAATGTTTTAGAATGCATTTTAAAATTGGGATACTCCTGTTCTATTCAAGGTTTGTTCTAAATGTTGATTTAAAAATAAGGATGCAATAGAACCTTCATCTGGAGATGGATGGAGATAGAGACAGAGACCCACACTGGAGCACTGGACTGAGCTCCCAATGTCCCAAGGAGGAGCAGAAGGAGGGAAAATATGAGCAAAGAAGTCAGGACCACTAGGGGTGCACCCACCCACGGAGACAGTGGGGCTGATCTATTGTGAGCTCACCAAGGCCAGCTGGACTACGACTGAAAAACCATGGGATAAAACCGGACTCTCTGAATATGGCGGACAATGAGGGCTGCTGAGAAGCCAAGGACAATGCCACTGGGTTTTGATCCTACTTCATGTTCTGGCTTTGTGGGAGCCTAGCCAGTTTGGATGTCCACCTTCCTAGACCAAGATGGAGCGGGGAGGACTTTGGACTTTCCACAGGGCAGGGAACCCTGACTGCCCCTCAAACTGGAGAGGGAGGGGGAGAGGAGTGGGGGAGAGGGGGAGAGGAGAGGGAGGAGGGGGGAAAAGGGAGACGGGGAGGGAAATGGGAGGCGGGGAGGAGGCGGAAATCTTTTTTTTTTCAATAAAAAAATTATATTAAAAAAAAATAAGGATGCATAAGAAGGAAGTGGCCTGGGAAAAGCTAATGCAGGAGTGCTGCATCGAGAATGACAGGGACAGCGAAGCTGTTGTGCTTTTGTATATGGTGAATGCAGGGGACAAAGAATTGTGCATTAATAACAATAGAGGAATACATTTTAAGGATTTTACCTTAAAATTTACAGCTTGAGAAATGAGATTAGTAATGAAAATAAAGCATGAAATCCTCATTAAAACAATTTACCATCAACCTTACACCATCTCAGTTCATCTCAACAGTATTAGAGCAAGTAATGTCCCTCATTCTAGTAGAATACATTGGATGAAAATTTGACTGAGGTAAAAAAAAAATGCTGTCCCAGAAAAGAGCTGTTTCTCTCTGAACAGGAACCCTCCTTTGGGTTGGGGTCCCCACATGTACTGATGCTGCAGGAGTTTGCAGAGCCCAGTTGGTGCCCCAGTCTGATGGCTGCATCTGTGCATCTGCAGCAGCTACTCTGGAGCTGAGAACGGCTACTCATCTGTTGTCCCTCAATTGTCCCTCACAATTCTACTGAAGGAGAAAATACCTTTTCTTTGTAAAACAAGAAACAAGGAGATGGCGCCTAAGATCTATCTCATAAGAATGAAACATTTCCCAAGAGTCCACTTTCTCTGTTGTCTTGCCTTCATGGAACATGACAACTCCCTGAAGGTATCTGAACCTGGGACCCTGTACTCTTACTCTGAAGCCTCTAATGGTTTGTATCCAGTTCTCCACCTGTGACTCAGAGCAGAGGAGCTCCCACACCCCTCAGTCCCATTGTCAGGGTGTCTATAAGTTGTTTGTGATTTCACCCTTCCCACAGTCAGTCTGAAGACCCTTTATGGCTGAGACAGGCTGGCTTCCTGATGTGAGCTCCAGAAGGTGATGGAGACCCAGGTGAGGGTGCTGCACATGCAGGAAAGGACCCTGAAAAACAATCTTCACTTTGATGAACTCAGATCAAATTCACCATAATCAAACTGATGAAAGACATAGTTACCAGTGCAGTCCTTTTGCATTTCTTATAGAGCACAATTCAGAATTGTCACCTGCCACTTCTAGGTTCTTCTCATAGAAGGAGACTATGCATGCATGGACACCAGGGGGCCCCAGTTATGAGCATTGACTTCCAATTCCTCTATGACAATTCTATTCTCCCCCCATCTCATCTCCTCTCTCTCTCTCTCTCTCTCTCTCTCTCTCTCTCTCTCTCTCTCTCTCTCTCTCCTCTCGTGTGTGTGTGTGTGTGTGTGCATGTGTGTGTGTGTGTGGTGGGGGAAAAGTGAAGGGTGTGAAGCGTTTATTCACCACACAGATTATAGTCCATCATCACGGGAAGCCATTTTAACCACAGAGGAACACTGCTCACTGATATGCTCAGCTAGCTTTCCTCTGTGGCCCAGGCTCGCATGCCTAGGGATGGTGCTATCTATCCACAAAGGGCCAATCGCTCTTAAATCAATTAATAGTCAAGAAAATGCTAAAGAAATATGCCTGTAAGTCAGTCTTATGGAGTCAATTTTTAACAATGTGTCAAGCAGACAGCAAAGATTAGTCACAACAGCAAGCCCTATAGTAGAAAACATAAACCTCTGCTTACTGCTTAGAAAATTGAGCTTCCATAGAATTCCATAGAATTCTATGCCCAATGTGAAATTTCAATTGTAGGAATAATTATTTAAAAGTACGTATGTCAGGAAATAGTACTGTACTTAAAACAATGAGTGAAAATAAGCCCAAGAAACAAAGGACAAGTTGATAAATTTGACTTCTTTAAAGCCCCTTATGTATCCTATAGGGTGGACATGGGGGTGACTGTTGGCTGCCAGCAAATTTGACCATTCCTCCACTGTTTTGGTGGGGAATTTGCCATCAGAAGCCCTACCCCATACAGAGACTAGGTCACAAATACAAACCTGAATCATCAACTGCATTCAAGAGCTTATGTTCTCAAGAAATGGAAGAGTCTAATCTGCTTGATAATTTGGGAAAGTCTTATCTTTTTTCAGAGTCATAGATGTGGCAAGTTTCTGAGGCAGCAAGCACATTGTGTAATGCCATTCTTGATGACACACTGCAGAGCTCAGAGATCACATTCATTGTGTTAGTGTCAATGGTGAGCTCTGGTGTAGAATTTGGCTCTAGAGTATGATTTGTTTCCTGGTGCTGTTACCTCAAATCCAGCTTCTCTGACCATCAGAGAAACTTTGAATCCTAATAAACATGACTACATATGGGATTAACAAAAAACCCCAAATAGAGGGCACACCTGTAGGCCATTTCTGCTTAATCTGAAGTAGGAAGAACTACTTTAGTTTTGATCTTTGAGATACTAAATCATAGCTTTAATTCATATCTTTAATTCAGGTGCAATCTGGAACACACCTTCTTTTGGAAGCCTATATAAGGCAGGGAAGGAGGAAACTTTTACTCTTTTTCTGCCTGCTCTAATCCTGTTAGCACCACCATTCCTTCCCTGGCAGAGTCTATTTCCTTAAGCTTCCAGAATATGCTGCAGACAGCTGAGAATACTGAGACATACAGTTTTCTGGATTGAAAAACTTCTGGATTCCTGGACTTTCCTTTCGTAGCCAGTCATTATTGGATTAGCTAGAACACAGTCTGTATGTCATCCTAACAAATCCCCTTTCAATATATAGAAAGATTCATTTTATAACATCTGTTACTCTAAAGAGCATTGACTAATAATACAGCAGGCATGTAGAGAGGACAGTCTAGACCCATTTGAGTCTTATAACAATTTAAGCTTACTTGCAAATTACCAGTGGCCTAACCTTAACCTTCCCAAGGTGCTTGTTCACTTCAGAAGAAACAACCCTCATCTGCCATATCATGCTGACCTAATTTCTTGGCATGCTTTATTTCTCATATTATTGGGTATGGATGCTCAGGAGGGGAACAGCCATTCTTCAGCAGTGCTTATAATGTGAGCACTAAATTTCTCATGGGTGAAGTAGAGAAAAGTTTCTAGTTAGGCCAAGAGAAAGCTCTACCTTTGAAAGGAGGTGGTGATGAATGGCTTCCTCTGTGTCACAGGAGAGAATCCTGTAAAAGTAACCTCAGCTCAGCTTCTGGTCAGTATGGAGAGAACCCATTAGCAAGGACAAAAAAACTGTTCCCTGTGACATCATCGGTCCCTTCTCCAAAAATTCTATTGTATCCTGGAGAGCTCTGAGCGCCCTCTGTGATGTCACTAGCATTATAGCAACACCAACTGCCCTTAAGACATTCATTTAGTGCCTTTAAGGTTTGCCTATAAACATGTTGCCAAGATTGAGGTGTCTACTTGAGAGAATGGACAGCATGGAGAGACCAGAGTGAGGAGGAATGAAGCAGGCCCTAAGTCTAACTGAAAAACATGGAGAATTAAATGGTCCTGAGGAAGATGCAGTGAGTTCAAGGAAGGAACTAGGGAACTTTCTGGATATGGAAGCAGGCCTTCCAGGGTTAGGGTTCAGGAACTGGAGGCTTCTGGGATGTAATAAGCATATCTTGTTTCTCTGTGTTTCTAAAGGGCTGACACCACATCAAAGGTGGTTAGTTTGACAGAGTCAGGAATTGACAAGGCTGTAACCTTTGTGCTCTGAGTGGGAAGGACACAGAGAGGAATCAATCAGATTTCTATCTCATCTCTTCACTTTGCTCCCACTGGTGTGCTTTAGGGTGCTTTTCAGTAGTAATAGGGAAAGGAGAGTAGCCTGACAAAGCCTAAGGTTGTCATTCTCTACATCACAACCATTATCAGGGTAGAGGCACCAAGTGCTGCTGTCTTCCAGTGACTCCTAAGGTTTCTGGCTTCCCAGATGTGAGTGAGACATATGTCTCCAGTTCACACTGAGAGCTATTAGAGCCAGTGGACCACGGCAGAGGCTGTCATTTCCTGCCTGTTCTAGGTGTCCTGGGCTGTCAGTGAAGATGACTTTGTGAATATGGTGAAAGTGATCTGTTCCTGAATGGCTTTTGCATTAAAATGAGAGTCTGAAACATCAAGAAGTGATTTAGCAAGCCCTCCACTACCCGAGTGTTTGTGACAGCAGCAATTATCTCTAGGATTCTGAAAGCACATTACTGAGGGCTCTGAAGCCAAGGTCCATCCTCTGTAACTCTAAATAAGCCTTAGGAGGATGCCCTCTGTCACCTTGTGCAGGGAGACAGGTAACGTCTAAGAGACA